CTCAAATTCACGTTATACGTTGCTCCCAACAGCCAAGTACTCGTACCATCGATATCAAGAGCTTCCTGCACTTTAAATGAAGTGCAAATTTTCTCTGATGTGCTTCAGAGCTTCTCCCGTTCCTACACGTTTCTTTCAGGTCTGTTTCGAATCGAGCGTTTTCCTTGGGAAGTGGAAGTTCACTCATTTTTAAAATCAGTGTTTCTGACCTTTGACCAGAGAAGTAGTGAAATGAAAAAATAGTAAAACGCTTTTATACATACCAATGTAGACATAATGGATATTTGCAAAAAAAGTTATGCAGATTCAGACAGGGCAAGTATCTTTTGTGGTGAGCAGCGTGGTGTTAAAATGGTTGCTGGCAAAGAAAAATCTGGAGAGCAGAAAGCTTGCCATTTTAATATCGCAATCAAAAATCTATCGGTTTCTTACTAACAATGAGACATAGCATGATATTTTTTTTTGTCTAAAGCAGAAGATTTAGGTAGAATCGTGAAACCTGGCATCAGTGTTAAACAAACTGGTCCTGCTAATTGTTTAATTAAGGGACTCTTTGATCTTGCAGTTAATTGGACGACAAAGAGTGGGTTGAGTGAGATGAACGTCTTGCTGTTTTCGTTGAGTGAAATTGATGGCGTATGATTAGATGGAAGGTCTCCTGAAAGCGGTTAGTTGATAAGATTATCGCATCAAACCTCACAATAATAATAAGAGCTATGTAAGATAACACAGTAAATACAGTACAGAACATGCATGCATGGATAACTACCTCAAACAAGGCATGCAAATCTCTATTTCATGTCCTGGGAATCTCTTTTCTTCCTCAACTTGAGTTGCATAATTTTCCTTCAACTTGAGCTGGCGCAAGTACAGCTTTAGAACTCCATCGTGAAACATGTTCCACGGTAGTTGCCTTAATATGGATCTATGTAGGCTTCCCATGATAAATAGTGGTATTTATCATTTCTTTGGATAAGTCTGACAGAATTAACCTTGTTAAAAGTTATTTTTTTGCGTTCTCAATTAGACGGCATTTATGAATAATTAGACTTACAATTAGCAACTATCATACATTTATCAAGCCAAACTAGACACTATCTTATAAAAATATATATTTTATTACACCTCAATGTTATAATTTGTCATCCACAACTTTGTTATAGATATAATTTTGCTAATGATGTTTGCAATTAATTTTTTTTTTTGATTAATTGGATCTATTGCGTCCATACCAAATACGGCTAATTATGTTTAAGCGATAAAAAGTAAGAATGTATCAATATATATATACAGGGTCACTTCGAAGTTGAGTCATTTATTTTAACAGTGAGTAGATCTGATCAAAAGAAATGTTTTTTTCCTTTAACATTTTTCTGGTAAAATTAAAGTAACAAAGTTATAGCCCTTTAGAAGTTTGAGTACCGCCCTGTCTCAATAATAATATTATGTGCTCGTGTTTGGCAACAACGGATATAATCCGCGTTATCGGTTCATCGCATCGGAAACAAAAAAGCGAAAGAATTTGAAACGTTTATCACCATGTTTTTCGTCAGTCGGTAACGCGTGAGTGCATAGTGGTGTTTGTTGCGTGGCTCAAACGAAATAAAAAATGGCACATGTTCACGAAAATGCTGAACTTGTGGTCATGATTCCTATTTACAAAATGCTGCCGCGGCATCACGGATTTGTGCGAATCGGTTTCCCAATCGAGTGCAACCAACCCCTCGTGCCTTTGTTAATATAGTACAAAGGGCTCGTGAATCAGGAGACTTAAGACCTTACGGGGGAGGGCCTGTCGGTGCTCCAAGACCGCACGATCAAATACAGGTCCGCACTGAAATACTTGTCGGGAGGATACTTTATAAAACAAGGTAACATTTTTTTTAATGTTTTTTTATTTTTACACACATGTTTTGGTTTATCTTCCTTCTACAATCATTATCTGAAAATTAATGACTCAACTTCAAAGTATATAACGTGAGCAGTAGTCATTGCCAAAGCCAACGACCAGTTGGGCACAAAATACAATTAATTGTTAAATGGGAAATTGGCAAATTTTTTTAGGCTTAAGTTGACTCTTTTGACGATAAAATCAAGCTTTCGGCATTCTCTATGGAGCCTTCATCAGGATTCTGAAAACACAATTGTGATGCTAGCAAAAAAAACAGGACATATTTAAATCGTCAGACAACTTACTCGTCGGTGAGGTTGCAGCCACAAGGTGTTTCAAAACGAACGTAGAGAAGATCGAACTTGTAATCAGTATAAAAACAAAAGGACGGGGACATTGGGCTTGTTGAAAAACGACAGATACCTTCGTTACATGTTAAAAATATCAATCCACCTGAACAAATTAAAAATTATTACACGTGAGAAGACATTTTAGTGAAACAATCGGAATGCAGTCTCCAAACCTCCTACTTCTGCTACACGTGGAGAGGGGGACGGCACGGAAAGATAAAGCGTCGACAGATGACAAGTGATTGACGGGACGGACCGTGGAACTGTAAACCTCATTGTCGAAATTTGGGTCTGAAGTATACGAGGGACGCTTGGTAAACCTCCACCCAAAATTACTAAAATGCTGAATTAATTTGTTTTGGAAAAATGTGTGTAGTTCATATGAGTGTACGAATGGGTGATATATATATATATATATATATATAACTTGAGACGTGGTCATTGTCGTCTATACCAGTTAGGTGAAAAATTAAAGCTTCCGCCTTTTGTTGGGTACTTCGACAAAATTTAAGCAAGGAGGACTCTTTATACTTTTTTATTCTCTCTAGCTTTCAATGGTCTTTGCCATCATCATCAGGAGAGTAGTACGTGAGGATATTGCTAATTGTTGTTTACGTTATAGATGAGGGAGACACCCATTAACATGGTGAAAGCTGGATAAATGGTACAATGGTCAAAATTATTTATTATTATTTTTTTTAGAAATTGAAAGTTAAGCATTACATCGTGAAGCCACTTGATGATTGCACAAAAAAAAAATTGTCGAAGTACCCAACAAAAGGCGGAAGCTTTAATTTTTCACCTAACTATGTATATATATATATACATATATAACCAACAGATACATAATGAATGGTTTTTAGTAAAATAGGAACATAGTTCCTCATATAATAAGAGGTAGCCTAGAGATTCCACACTTTCGGTGCAAAAGTATAGTGGACAAGATGAAATACCTCGTAATCACGGTTTAACGAGGGGCAATATGGAAATTCACTATAGATGTCAAACTCCTCTTTCGACAAACCAAAGGGAATGCATGCCAATGTGCGAAAGTTTTATTATTACAGTCGTTCTTCCAAAATATTATGCACACTATTAGGCAGTAAATATGTCAGATCTAGTAACTGATCAAGATTCCAAGAGCACTATTTACGATGGTATCCACTATTGAACATGAAAGAATCATCTCAAGGCCTCACTCACTTGTATAAGTATTTTCCAAGGTGTAATGTATCCATATTTATGCGACATAGAAGTATCACGTATTTTTAGACGCAAAATAAGTCAATTGGGCACGATTTACTTACATGCAAAAGTGCTCCGATTGTCTCTTAGAGGGCGTCAAAGTTTTCTTTTTGAAATACTTTTTATCACATATTTTTTTTAGAACCGATAGTCCGATTTGAATAAAATTTGGAACACACTGAATTTTTTTAACACGCTTTTATTTGCCTGGCCTGTATGTATGTATCGGAATCTTTTGAGCGTAATTTTCACCAATTTCCAGAAGTTTGAATAATTTGAAACTTCGCACACGTATCAAGGACCGATGACAGTGCTATAATTTGATAACAGTTTGTTATTCTCCTTATTAGGGACGCCAGGATTGATAAATTCTTTTATAGATCCTCTGTAGACTAAGAGAGATGGAGCTAGCACGCGATCTGTGCATCCGTGTAGTTTCACCTTTGTTCATTGCGAATGTTGCCTTCAATCCTGAGTTGGGCTTAGACCGTCCACAAGATGCAAGGTTGAACAGTCGATCATGCAGTCATTTAGCTAGACTCGCGACTGTTTGCTGCTGGACAAGCTTATGTAGCACTTTAAGATCTTTAGACGGTATTCGGATTGAAGAACTTGATTGCTCTAAGTTAACAGGAAAAACCCCATGCAACAGCGAAGATTTTAATGGAATGATTAGATTACGAAATGATTCGTAAGAGATTTCAATACCTCATGTCTATCAAAAACTAATTGATAAATCGAACTAAAAAATGAAAAACAAGTCATAGTTCAAAAATACTAAAAAAACACGCTGTTATAGTTTACCGAAATAAAAAGTATAAAATTCTCATTGGGTACGTCCCTTCTATATATTTACCCTATTAGGTCAAACTACAAGAACAATGTTTCATGAAGCATTTTCTAGATGTAACGTTTTTTGCGCAATGCTAACGATATATGATATATCCTGGCATCAAAAAAAAACCACAAATAAACCATAATTTGTCAGCCATAACCATAAAACTAAAGGCTATTTTGCTAACAACTTTGGCAATAACAATTTTTTCAAAAATCCTAATTGGTTTCATTACGTTTATACCAGCCACTGTTAATTACCAGCCATCTACCTTTGAAAAAATGCCCGTGTATAAGGAAACAGCTAGCATGATAATTAGGGCAGAATACTCCAGCATTATTTATGATACTCGTTTGTCTTCTATACATAACGGTTTGTCAATAATTGTTACTAACCAGACGTAACGTTGAAAGGCTTGTCTGAGCGTTTAAATGCAATGTCATCGATTGATATGATTGATTGTCTCGTATACGTATGATCTATTTCAAATCCAATTGGACAGGTCATTAGGGATTATAATGTACCATGGTACACAAGAACATGAAAGAAAATAAGCTTCTACTTTCGTCGTACAGTGGACAATGAAGAAACGATGTGGCAGACGCATTGGCTTGTTATATGTCAAACATATTTTGAAGGGCTGTTTAGGCATCATTTTCTATCACAAGATAGAGCTTAAAATTGGCAGAATCCTGGCAAAACGCATGGTCTTACAATGCCTGCCTTGTGAAGACAAAAGGATCCTAAAAAGTAACTATTTACTACTTACTATTTCGGGGAATTGATATGTCGCAAGAAGTTTTTGGACGTCGGTCCTGTGAGAGTCAGATTGATCCAAAAAATAGCGAGCAATATTTCTAGACCAGATGATAGACATAAATCATAAGACCTAAATAGTCCACTCACCAAAATATGAATGAAGTGAGAATAAAGCAGAAAATTCAAAACTACCGATTTGGTGAATATACTATGCCGGGACTTTGAAATTCGACTCTGCTTCAGTTTTTGAGGAGCGTGTTTTCAGAACATTCAGATAATTGGCCCATTTATCGACAAGCGTTATTTTAGCACCATATATCTGTGGCTATATGACACCTTACAAGTAGAATAATAGTATTTGAATGCAAGATATGTGCATCGGTTTAGATATTGCGGATATGAAATATGTTTAGGGAAACTGCAACATAGAAGAGGATTTTATTTATTGATTTATTTATCAACGAGCGACTGCCCAATTAAAGTACAGCATAGAAAATATAATGTAAACCTAACCCTACTTTGACTTAGATATTTAACACTTAGAACAATCACAAAATCTTTACAATCCAGATCACTTCTAAATTGAAACGAATTTAATTAAAATTTAAATATATGGGGAAATCTAATATTAAATATTACAGACAGGAATCTAATTGAATTTTGAATGTTTTCTGACTTCTGAAGAAATCCAACTTATTAGAATAGTGATTTGCTAACCTTGAAGATCTAGACAGGAAGGAATTACTAGCAAAATTAATACGAAGTGATCTTACATGGAATGGTTGATTCAGTCTTGGTTGACGAGAAGGCACATGGAGATTAGTATTTTCTGCAGCAAAACTAAGAGAGTGCAAAATATTATAAAATACTGACAGGTTCCTCTGGTACCGTCTTACCTGAAGGGTTGAGCTATTCAGAGAGCTTTCAATGACGGAATAGATAATATCTTCAGCCATAATGTTTTGTTTGAATGAAATGAATCTTAAGAATTTATGTTGCACTCTTTCAATTGCGTGAATATGAACATTATAGTTGGGTGACCAAACACAAGAACAATACTCCAAATCGGGCCTCAGCAAAGAACAAAACAACGTTTTAAATGACTGAATATTATGAAAATCCTTAGCACATCGTTTTATAAATCCCAACAGTTGAAGAGATTTAGAAACAATCATATTTATATGGGTAATAAAGGATAATTTTGTGTCCAGAATTACCCCTAAATCCCCAACTTGAAATACACTCTTTAGATGACAACCGTTCATGGTATAAGTAGTATTGCTATACAATGTTTCTATAACTTGCACAAAATAGTACCGGTGTCAATGTTTTCAATACTACCCTTGAATAACATGCAGAAGTTTCAGCATTATGGTGGTCATTGTTCGATGGTTGGAGATAAGCTATAGGAAAATTACATTTTTAGATACCTATTTGCCGTTTTATAATATCAATCCATGTCATAATCTGTACGATATCATATCATTAAAATTATAAATAATGACTGTGCACCAATGTCTAGTTTATTAACACTGAAGCAGTGCTTGCCTGATGATGTTATGGTACAAACTACTACTCTTATAACTTCAAAGCCTACTTAGGAAATTATGTTTTTTTATATAACTAAAGTATGACAATGTCAATGTAAAGCATATTATAGATTTTTTAAATCATAATTGAAAACTACACACCTGTGCAAAAATCCAATATGGCGTATAAAAGTTATATTGAAATTCTAATTGTGTCATATTGAAGAGGAGACAGAGTTAATGTTGGCAAACGTTTTATTCCAAAATCGCATCTCAAGTAAAAACCAGGAAAAATTAAAATCGTTTTTGGGGAAATTTGATTTGTTTTGCCTTTGGAAAAGGACGCAATTGTGACAGTTTCTAATTACCATCAGCTTTGCCTATATTTAACCGACTCCCCCGAATCCGAAATCCCAATGTTACAAATCAAATCTGAAACACCCGATATACAATTTTCAATGAAAACTATTTTTAGAATGGATTTTGGTGTTATGTGGGAACATATAAATAAAATTTTCTTGAAAAGGAATGCTCCCACAAAATGTGCTGCGTTAGTAAAAAATGGAAAATATGTTTCAAAGAGCCTGTAGCCTAGAAAATATTCCTCTCTCTTCTAGTGTGGGCCCTAATACAGGTATATCAATTTTTCTATATCACTGCACTGTTCTAATTTGAGCTACGAATGTTTGTGTATGGACTGTGCTGTTTATACTATATGTTTACCAAATTGTTAGTAGATACCGTATCCACTTCAGAGATATATGAATATTTTCTACGTCGAAATTATAACTTCAACATGCTGTATCTCGGTAAGGGGGCATTTTTGACCCGTGTTAATTTTTGAACATAATTTCGGCACTTGGAATATTGTCACTGTTTCTGAATCACGTTTTAAACGCGATGCAAGGTTGTATTTAAACGTTCCATTGAAACACTAACTAGGAAAAAGTTTGAATTTTGAATGGAATGTTTTCTAAATCTGCTGATACCTTCTGATAAAATATTGTTTGTCATATATACCATATTCATAAATACTTTTCTTTGTTCCAGTTGACTCAAACGGTGAGCCACCAAAACTGAAGTGCAATCTGCGGAAGCATAAGCCGAACAGGAAACCCAGGACACCTTTTACGACGCAGCAACTTCTTGCGTTAGAAAAGAAGTTTAGGGATAAACAGTATCTTAGTATAGCGGAAAGGGCAGAGTTTTCTAGTTCTTTGAGGTTAACAGAAACGCAAGTAAGTATTTGCACAATCTTGTTACAAGTTACGAAGTATTTTAACCTCTTGCTGAAAAATATTATTTTTATTTTGATATTGATAACATACCGTTTGTGAAAAGGTGCCTGTTTCTACAGGGTGAATACAAGACATTGGGAAATTTGAACGGTATTTTTTGGACTGGTTCAGTGTGATATGGCTCATTCATTACACTCTGGAGAATAATGGCTCAGTGATTATATTTTTCCAAGGCCAGGTCTTTTTACTTACTTCTATCGTTTTACACTACCTCCGATTCCCAAAATGTCGGACAAAAGTTTTATCTTGCTTCAGTGATCTAGAAATGTATAGAGTCTTGACGAATTTGTCATCAGAATGACTATATTTTCGAAATGCTGAAATCAGCACATCGGAATCAGTAACGTAAACGATGAAACAGCACTGAAGCAGCAGTGTTTTTTCACAATTTCATCGATTTCCGATAAAAGTGCATTGGTTAGCTAATAGCTCCGATTTTCCAAAAATAATTGAGTAAATCCTTTATTATACAGGGTGTCATAAATTTACTAACATTGCTTACGGGACTAGTCATTTTCTAACGATCTACAGGAATTAACCGTTATCAGTCGCAATCATTATAATATTTTGATGTCAATATACACTGTACACCGACAAAGCGGTAATTCGAAAATTATAGCGGTATTTAAAAAATCGTGGAAAATGAGAACGTTTTCGGTAAATAATCACTCATTTCGGTAGAAATACCGAAAAATCGGTAAATTCGGCAACTCTGCATTAGAGGAAAATCGCATTTCTACTATGTTTATTAGAAGCTCTTATGTTGGAGTTTAACAAAAACACTTGGCCCGTGTAGTTCAAGAGAGAAGAACTGCAAATTTTTAGCTTACTGTATCATGATGATATTTGACATTATGTACTACGTTTATGCTTACATTTTAAAACCATCAATGTTTATCCTGTAAAGCATTGCTACGAGTATTTCCGAATAACAAAGTAACCTTTTTTATTCCGTTTGTTCTAGGTAAAAATTTGGTTCCAGAATCGCCGCGCCAAAGCGAAACGCCTCCAGGAAGCCGAGCTTGAAAAGCTGAAAATGGCGTCACTATCCCGTCACCCGCACGCGTTATACCCCCACCCCGCCCTCCAAGGCTACTTCCCCTCAGCACATCCCCTCGCCTCCCTTTTAGCAGGTAGACATCCAGTAGGTCCTCCTCTTAGCCTGATGCCGCAACCGCAACATCTGGCGGCTGCGCATCCGCCTCCGCAGCATCTGGCAACACCGCCTGGACCCCCACCGCAACATCTGGCAACGCCGCCCGGCAGTACTGCGCAAACGCACACGGCAGTCGGGTCGCCGAGTCCGCGGATGACGTAGGTGTGTTGACAGACGTGAAGTGATGAAGTGAAATATTGTTCAAGAAGTTGTAGGATGCTAGTCTGGTTCTGAATTCTACCCGATTCATTGTTTAATTCGCATCGTACAAAAGAGACTACATTTTCTGACATGAGGCAATGTGGCAATATTGTATGCATCGCATAAGTGCTGGGTTGCCAAGTGTATTGATTTCATCAGTTAACATACTGATCTGCTATGTGTACTGTTGAAAGTTTGTATGCCTTGAGTTTTTTTACGAATGATTTGAATCAGTAAAATAGAAACCAGAGTTCTTTGAGAAGATCTATAATTATATTACAATAAATAATTATTTTGATTTTGTATAATTGTATAGACAAATCAAAACATCTGGCAACTAAGTGCAAGTTAGAATTAAGAATGAGAAGTAAACTGGAAGTGTTTTAAACTTTTAGAACTAAAACCATAAAATTTATGTTTCGCTCTTATTACCAAAGAGAACTCACCAGTGTCGGATCCAGGAGAGTCCTAGCGGTCTGGACCGGACCCCCTCCCGAAACATCAGAATAAAATTTTTTTAACCTGTTCTTCAATTTGCAGACGACCCCGCCCCTCGGTCGTAAATTCAAATCCAACTAAGAGAATTTTTGTCACAGCTGTATCTCTATTTACTATACTCGTATTACTTTGAAAAGTGTCTTGTAGATGGCGCTGTAACTACCTATATAGACAGCGCCATCTATGAGACCCTATCTTTTCAGTGCAAATAGTAAATAGCATTAGGCTGGCCATCATCAGGTCAATAATGCATCCACTGATCTGCATGTCAGCTGTAGAAATTATAGTTCAAAATCAATGTATTAGGTGCCTGAGGACATATCCAAAGTTTTGATATAATTATGCTACAGTGTTTTACTATTGCAAGGACTAAAGACAAACAACCTAAAATAAAGTTCGTCTGATAAAATTAACATGTGACAATGTCTCGATTACATTTTATTCCCCATTTGATTTTTTTTCTCCTATGTTGGGTAACTAGGCCGTTCGCCTCCAGAATTATGAGTATTAATATGGACATTTACTTTGCTTTAATTATAAATATATTTCTCTTAAAACGCAATTTATAAATTATTTATATAGGGTCGTAAAATTTAATTATACCTTACAATCGTTATTTTCTTGTTTTTGTCGGTAATCCATTTTATTGATAAACATGAATAATTATATAAACCAGATTTCTCAGAGCTTGCTAATCAACAATTTGTATAATTTTACAGGGTAATTCAGTCATAACGTGATAGTTGAATCAAAACGATATTGAGAGAAAGCCTTGCTGGGCGTAACTATTCAATATCGTCAGACAAGCCTTTCGTTTTCGCGATACACGGTGTTAATATCTCCGACATTGCTCACACTGGATTCATACAAAACATGAAAATTGTTCCAATAAAGCTATGGCACATGCAATTTTTAGTGTCAAGATACCGATTTGTTTCCTGAAGAATTCCAGGCATTTTTCTCCAGGAGGAGAAGTCGGACAAAAATTTCTCATTCATGTAAAATTGAATACTTTATTCAAAAGCGCGATAGGTGTTTCAAAAAAGTCAGTGCCGCAGAAAATTTTCGTTCTTGATTTAGACTTACGCTCACTAACAAAAACAAATAAGGAGACCAATCAAAATCTGCCAGCAAAACGCAAAATCTACAACCTACAGAAATTAATTTAGATTGGTATTTTGCTTTTCATTTTTGAACATCCCACATTTCGAACGCTACGTTCTATGTCGAAGATTTTATGGATTTGAAAGATCAAAATTAGTGCATTTTTATTGAATACAGGTAGACAGATGTTTACATGTATTCTATTGATAGTCATTTTGCCGAATTACCCTGTATTTCTCAGTTGAGTATTGCCATCAGGCAAGATGTGATAACGAATGACCTCATAAAAATATCTTTTATGGTCGGAAAAGTGATCTTTACACCCATAATAATTAATATTTAACACTATAGGCTGGATAAATCATATTGAGTTGCTGTCCTCAATGACTTACTCTGATAAGTCCACCTCGACAATTATAGACAAAAATGTGCTAATAGCTACTTGATCCGTGGAGCATGTGTTTTTCTTACTTAGATGGAGAAATTTTAGCTCCATGGAAAATTGGTTATAAAAGTTACATAAAAGAAACGTATGTTGTCATTTATTTCAAAGTACGATGAGAGTATCGTTGCAATTCCTCGTTGATCAAAAGCTCGATATTCTGTCTGATTTTAAACGTTTCTAGCATGTACATGTGCAGCGCTTTTCGTGTGGAGCATCGTTACAAAAAGTGCTGTTATTCGTCTAGGTTTCTAGCTTTTACTTCTTATACCAACTGGCGAGGAAATATGGTAATCCCAAAAAAATTACTAAATGATGTTATATGACATGTATGTAGACCACGAAAAACCTGTCCATTGGGCTACCTGTGCGCTGACCTTGACCCGTCTATAACTTGGAAAGTTCCGGTACGATTTTCAAAACATTTTGATGCTATATTTGTACTGTGCTAAGGATGAAAAATATTTGTGATTTTCTGAAATCGATCTAATGATGATGGAGCTACGGGCAAAAAACCAAAATATAAAAGCCGCTCAAACTTTGCTATTTTAACGTTTCAGAGACTCCTACTCATTTTCGGAACACTTTTTGGAAGGGTAAAAGCTTCGGATGGGGGACGGTGTACCTCAATTTTGTGTGCTTCCAACCTCGGTAGCTCTACCACATATTAGATATATTTCACACACACCCCGTATATTTGCTCTTAAAACTTATTGGTTAAGAGAAATATTTTCAGCACACGCATTATTCGTGTCAGGACCTGATCGTTGGTTGGAGTAGTTTGGTCAGAGAAACTTTGTCAGATTGTCAGTAGTGTCAGTAGGGCAGGGAGAAAATTAAGATCGCATCGTTGTCCAGTGATGGGGACTAGGGGCTTCTTGTACTATACGCCCTTTATTTCTACTGATATTCCAATAGACTTTGTTCTTCGGAGCCCCCACTCTTATGTTCATTATTCTAACTCGGCTGATATCAGCAGGACTGCTCGTGAAGCGTGCTCAGTTTCCATACCGAAACTTTGGATTTATCTAACATTTAACTCTAAATAGAGTATTGAGTTCCAGTTCTACAGTCTCATTGTGAAGCTACTTGTGTTTCGTGTGATCATTTTTTTCAAGATGTATAAGACTGAAACCATTGACTAATCAATTTCGGAGCTGAATATTTCAAAAACAAAACAATTGGAAATTTTTCAAATTCTGAGGTAACGTTTTATTGCGCCTAAGGATGTATAATATCATTTTTTGAACATTTTCATAAATTTGTTCCTGGTGAATATGGAAAAAGATCGGCCAAATGTGACGATGTGCCTTAGATATACAATAAAAATTTCAGGCATCTCTATAAATGACGATCAAACTCAAGTACCACTTTTCATTGTTATAACCTCTAGTTTGGCCACGTACGCCAGTGTGCATAACGCTTCTGGATAAATAATAATAGCAAGCAACGGCTAAACGTAGAGTCAGTTTAGTACACTCTTTATGTTTTGGCAGAGTTAATAGGTAGTTGTCAGTTGTGCCACCGACACGAAATCGACCAAAATGAAAGTAATTACATGACACATGTGCACTCAGAATGTTTCTGACTTGGTGCAGCCTAACACGTGTAATAGCCTTTGAAATATATTATATTTTTGGATATAAATCTTCTCAACTTGGTGTATAACCGCCTAATAAATCAGGTATATCAAAGAGTTATTCGGCCTGAGGATGTTTCTATCTTAATTCAACAAAATTCTCAGTGAACCTTATCTTTGGTTTTCATAGTCAAGTACCGAAATTAATTCATCAATATACAGGATATTTCCCACTCTCTGAACTATTTCAAAAAATGATTCATGGTAATCTTTGAAATACCACTTTGTTTCTAAGATATTATGCGAGTGAACATTACATGTGTCACCAGTCAATCAATATGAAACTGTTCACTCATCATTTATAATCCAATTTTCCCCTCATCGACTGGAAAGCTTGTTCAAAAAAGCTAAGATCGTCCAATTCATCTGCTCTGCGTTACTTTTGTTATTCGGGTGCATAAAGCCTCCTACGCCCTTCTCATAAACTGAAAAACAGTACCGCTCTAAGAATAGATGTCCACCATCACCGCAGCTATATGAATAAACACAGGCTGAACTGGATATGTTTGCTTGGCATCTTTATAACCACGACCAAGTGTATACAATGGCGTTTCATGTTTTTTATCACTTATCAATTCGGTATAGGTCTTGCCTTGGAGAAAAACGGAAAGAAAATAAGCCTTCTCGTACTAAGTGGCAGTATTCACATCTTTCCGTACTTTTTATTGAATTTCTAAGTGAATCACATTTGTTTGATTACCTCATGTCGTTTTTCTCCAAGACAAGACTAATACCTTAGTGATGATTACTAACAAGCATGAAACGGCGTTTTATGTGGTATGTCATCGTTACAGAGACAGAAAGCATACAGATCCAGTTAAGCCTAGCTTAGTTGACTTTAGATGTCAAAAGCACATTTATTTTCAGACCCGGTTTTTCAATTTCAGGTTAATCATGATTTAAAGGCTAACTAGAAGCTAACCCTTAAAATGATTTTTCAGGTTTTTCGTAAAACTTTAACAAGAAGGCGATCTGCTGGTTAACTAGAAAGTAGTGGTAAACCACAATGCCTTATCTGTTTGGCCTATTTGACATCAGTTGCCGCGGATGATGCGAGAGATAAGCGTCGAATGTCACAAGGTGGCGCAGAAACAGCATTGTTAGATCAAAACCTAGTTAACCAGAGCTTAAAAAACGAATTTACAGCCAGCTAAGGGTTAACAGCTTAAAGTTACCTACCAAACTTGAGTTAACCAGCGATTGGACAACCCGGCCTTAGAATAGAGAATAACTTGCTGTTTTATATCCAATATTCATAGAACAGTCATTGTATTCATATTTGAAACTACGCGCACGATCCCTTGGAAATTCTGCAAGTGTTTTTTATTTTGACTAGAAATGAATAAATGAAAATATGAGGGCAAGTGCTTTTCAAAAATATTTGCTCCCAGTGAATAGCTATCATTTACTACCACCTGAAATAATGAAAAACTTGAAAAAGCTTTTTGAAGTCTTCCTCTTCAATGATTGCTTTTGACAGTTTGAATGTACATGTGTTGCTCTTTGCTAACCGTGGGTCATTCTGCACACTGACTAGTCATTTCTAGGGGGTTCTTTGGAATATATTTTGGATTTTGATTGGCACATAAGGATATTTTCTCGATAAACGTTAGGTATAGTGAGTGATATAACCTTTTTTGCTACTCTGATGCAACTCAATATCAATGCATGTTTTTGCGACGCCTTTTTTACACTCTTACAAAATATCTGATTTGACCAACATTTGACGAGTATTCGTACAATATTATTAAAAAGTGGGAGCTCAACCTACACATCTAGTTAGATATAGGCCAGACATATTTGCTATCACTGAATTAACACACATGATTTTAAGTATCCAGGTCCATAATCGTTATCTTTGATATAGAGCCTTCCAAAAAGGTCCTCCACCCTATATATTTTTTTGACCGGGTCAAGGAAGATAAAATTGATACATGAATACTATATTTTGAGGTAAAAGTAACAGTTGAACACTTTTTTAAATAGATTGGGGGTTCGTGTGGCAACCTTATTTTGAAGCTCGACAACTAATTTCCAAAACATTATAGCATGTACACATGGTTCAATAAGTCTCGGGACTAACCATGAAAACAGCTTTTGTTTCGCAAAATTCATTTTTATTCATCAACGTAATCGCCATCAAGTGCAACGCAATCATTTCAACGTTTTTCTAACTTCTCGATACCATGCTTGAAGAAAGATTTGTCCCTGGTGTCAAAATAAGCTTCTGTTGCAGCGATAACTTCCTCGTTAGAGCCAAATCTTTTTCTTGGAGAATCTTTTCGAGATCATCAAAGAGCCAGTAGTCGCTGGGGGCTTGATATAGAGAGTACGGTGGATGGGGAAGCAGACTGAAGCCGAACTTGTTCAATT